GCTTTAAGATAACCACACTTCATATACATATTACTCCTCTTATCTATTTTTTCTTTCTTTAATTACATACTCAATATAGAAACTTTGTTTCCGTAACAATCAGTGTATTGTCGTTAAATGATATGTTCACTACATTTCCTTCATTTTTTTTTATCCTCATCCGACCCTGTGTCATCTGAGCCTACGACTGGAGTTAAGTAATCATTATTAATCATAGATACAGTCCACCTTAAAAAGAAATAACTTCTCCTCGAAGACTTACAGTTTTCCCCGAGGTATTCATTATTATAAGCTAGTCGATAATTATGCACACAATAGAGCACTGGAGACTGTTGGGTTTTTCTTTTTTTTTTTCGTTTGTTGTAAAATAAGAGCAACTTGTTGAACGATACCATCTCGATATTATTTTAAATTCGATTTTTGGATATTTTTTAACTCGATGGAAGGCAACTTGTAACCGAAATACTCTTGTTGAGAAAATTGTTTTAGGCATGTCTTTAAGCTTTTTTTGATATGGCTATTGAAACCTTATTAAGTATACAACGTTTTGTGTGTCTGTCTTTTTTTTTTTTTTACTTCAACTCGATTGTGACTGTCTCTATTTGGTAGGAGATTTACAGTACAACGGAATTAAACACCAAATAACTGAACGCATTTTTCTGCGCGAACACTTTTTTGATCGTCCTATTACATTACTTTTCTATAATTTTTATATTCTATGCGTGCTCTGCGTGTAGAACGTAGTATTAGATCAATAAATGTATAAAGTATGTTTTCACGTGCTTTTTTATAAACCTCCGTAATTTGTCTTAATTATTTAACTGGACGTTTGATTTTCTTTTGTTTTTTGTTCCTGAAAGATTTTTGATTGCGTTTTAACTTTAATCCAAGTTGTTGAATGGGGACGAAGAAAAAGATGTTTAATTTTTTTCTTCAGAAACGTATGTATTTAAGATCACAGAGGAAGAGAAAAAAGGTCAAGTTTTGACAGAATAAAGTATAAAAATTAATTCTGAAATGAAAAATATATTTCAGACAGATTGACATGAGTCTCGATGGTCGATACGAGAGTGAGGAAGAATTAGGAAGAGTCAGAGAGAGCATGTTGTGACAATATAATAATAAAATTCTATCGTAAAATAAAATCTAACTTAAAGTAAGCTATATTTTTATTTGATGCAAGTTTCCCATGTAGGATTATATTTATATTCTCGCTATTTATGAAGTACTTGTGGTGGAAATGATAAAGACAGTATAGGTTCTTGTGTTATGAACAGCTAATATTAGGTACTATCGCGATGGTAACAAACATTTAACCGTAGCATCGATATAATTACGATAAATAATATCACTTGCTAGTACTGTGAAACATTTTTCCTACATGGGTTCAAATAAATAACACGAATTTTATCATTTAAAAGAAATTATGGCTGTGACATTGTTTAGTGCATCACTATAGTGGAAAGTGGTATCACGAAAAATGTGAAAACAACAGTGGCATCGTAAAAGAAATATACTCTGTTAAAAAAAATACTATGTACGATTTGCACGTGTAGTTACTGCAATTAAATATTAAGATTATAGCATCTTTTTGTTCTTAAACAATATGAATACCGTATAAAATGTATTTAATGTTGACATCGAGGATGTCTGTTTTGTTTTTGTACAGACATGCACGAGTTATGTACACATAATGAATATTATTTATTTATGACTCGTGTTTGATCAATAATTCTGCTCATAACTCTAATGTTCGCGTGTTTGTGTTGAAAGTAGTCTCAAGTTGGAGTTTTTTTATCAAATACACGTGCAATTTTTTCACCCCTCACAATTTTATTACACATCATTCGTTAAACTTGAATAAAGAATTTGTTTTCATATTTCGAAAGACTCCGTTATTCGATTAATCAATTATTATTTTGATTAAATAACATCAATCCATTTTGATTCTATACACATATACATCAGATATTTATATATTACATTTACTATACATATATAT